TTCTGTAATTGAGAATGACCTTGAACTCTTGATCCTTCAGCCTCTATCTTCTAAGTGGTGGATTATAGGAATGAACCACCATGCCCAGCTTCCCAGTGCAGATTTTATGTAAGAACAAGTTGGATAACAACTAAAAGCAGAAGGAAGCAAAAGCAAAGCAAGACACAACAACATCCTCCACTGAGACCCCTGTGCCTTTCACGTTGTCAAAATCATGCAAACACAGAATGCACAAACATATCAACAGCAGCTCGTACACCTGCACACTATCAATTACAAACCAAAAGGCAAAGAGCCTAAGCGCCTTTGCTTCTGCAGAGACAATCTCTTACCTTTACCAAGAGTCTCATGGCTAGTCCCTAAATGCCTAGCTACAGATTATTTAATTTGGATGCTGTTACAAATTCCTCTGAGGAATAATGCATACTTTCAATTTGTCAGGACCATTTCCACTTCTTGTACCTCTTTCATTATGTCACTTAATGCTTTGACCCCATTGAACTTTGGATGGAAATCCTCATTTAACAATAAAATTTGTGTGACATGAAATTACTTTCTCTATATATTTGGCATAATAATGATTCTTTTTAACTTAGTTTTTGCCCTCCAGGTCAGAGGTAGAAAGTGAGTTCTAGAAGTAAGGGGTTTCTTAAAGCTGTGTTTATTTCATCAGTGTATTGTAGCTAGAGTTTTCCTGCCTTGCCCACAGTCAGGACAAATCTCTGTCACTCGCCAGTCCCACAGCCGCTCAGACCCAACCAAGTAAACACAGAGACTTGTATTGCTTAAACTGTTTGGCCTAATGGCTCAGGCTTCTAGCTATCTAGTTCTTACATCTTAAATTAATCCATTTCTATAAATCTATACCTTGCCATATGGCTCGTGGCTTATCGGCGTCTTCACATGCTGTTGGTCATGGTGGCGGCTGACAGTGTCTCTCACTCAGCCTTCCACTTCCCAGCATTCTTCTCCTCCTTGTCCCGCCTATACTTTCTCCTACCTGACTACTGGCCAATCAGTGTTTTATTTACTAACCAATCAGAGCAACACATTTGCCATACAGAACATCCCACAGCAGTGAATTTCTTAGACATGTTTTAAGAAAGCACTGATGATTCTGTGTGTTTGTTCTGTGTAGCTGGCAGGATTACAATAGTTCAGGGAGTAATGAAGAAATTTCTTTCCTTCTGAACCTTAGTTTCCTTATGTGTAAAAGGCAAATAATCATACTGACGTCATGGGATTTATATGGGCTTTGGATAAAATATCAGGTGAAATTCCTAGCACCAGTTAAAAATGTAGGTTTGTATTTCCCCTTTCTTTCATTCTCAGAAAACAGGCTCGAGACGACTGAGCTATGAAAGAGACACAGCTACTGATATCCAAGTATATAAAAGGTTTTCTGAAGAGAATGTCAGAAGAAGGTTGCAATAAAAATGTGCTCTTGCAAACAGAAGCTCCATAAAACCACCATATATTGTCAATATGCCTTTTATATGTACATTGATTTCTATGACTAGACACTCTACCACTGAGCTATACCTCCTAAATTCATTTTTGTATGTATACACATATGTGTATGCAGGATCTGTGCATGTGTTAGTGTTGGTGTGTACACTTCTGTGTGTGTATATATAGTATGAATATGTGTGCAAACATGAGCATACACAGAAAGAGACAAAGAGAGGAAGAGAATTCATTATACAAAGTATTTGATGGCAAACTTTATACAGAATATTGTAACTCATGGGATATAAAATAAATTCCATTCAGGATGGTGGCCTTATCTTCTAATTAAGATCATGGGCATGGAACTTTTGATTCCTGCATAAAATAAGCAGTTTAATTTTTCTGAACCAAGGAAAATAATTTCCTTGCACACTTCATGGACAACCCATTGGTTAGATATACTGTGATATGATGAGACTAGTTATGAAGTCATCATTCTTACCCAGTTACCTATTTTCTCCAACTCTACAAGCACTGCAGATATCTCCTCTAGTGTCTTCTTAAGACAGCTCAGTGCCTTAACCAGGGTCCCTTCTCCCTTTAGAGTTCCCAGGAGGAAGAGACTGTTGTGTGACTACTAGTCCATACAAGAGCTTCGCCCTGGATTTTCACATACCAATGAAAAAGTTGTTGAACTGTATCCATTAAAAAAAAAAACCAACAAACTTGTGGTAACTAATGCTGACTTATCGCAATTGTGTCAAAACAAATATTTGAGAAAAAGCACAAGCTTATTTTGGAAGCTGGGAAGGGACAAAAGAGAAAAAGAATTGTGAATCTCAGCAGTTAAAAGGTCCCTTTAAAAACTTGCTTTTAAAAACCATGCTAGTTAATAGTTTTATTTTATAAAGTATAGACAAAGGTTATTTTTGTTTGTTTGTTTTTGCTTTATTTTGTATTTCAGTCACATGGTTTATACCACGTGGTAACATTAGCCTGAAAAATGGTTGGCAGTACCCCTCAAATTGTTAGAATTTTAGTATGGAATAGATACACTTGCTCATTCAGTCTCTTTGCAAGCAATAACAACTTTTAGAAGTTTTTGGCTGAGTCATTTTTCTTGCTAATAATAATCACAACAGTCAGAGAGAAAATAGATTCGATGTTGGGATTCAACAGGAAGTCAATCCACAAGGCAGGGTTAGAGGTATGTCTCACTAGTTAGAAGATCATGTAAAAGCTCGGCCTGGCTGCACATGCCTGGTAACTGCAGTGTTAGGAAAGGGGACACAAGAAGTTCACTGGCCAGTCAGCCTATCCAAAATAGTGAGATTTCTGTTTAATGAGCAACCCTGTTTCAAGACATAAGGTGGAAAACAATACAAGGGATACTAAATGTCTGTCCTCTGGATACAAGTGACTGGGCATACCCTCCAAGTATATATAACACACACACACACACACACACACACACACACACACACACACACACACACACACACACGCATGCACGCACACATGCATGCACATATGCACCACAGCAAAAGACAAGACTGAATTTAGGAGGTGAATGAGAAAATAAAGCTAAGGATCAGTGTTGGCACACTGCTTCTTATGGATGGCTGTGGAAATACTGACTGAGCTGAAAGTGGCGGGGCCTCAGGTACCACTATGGGGTGTTTTCTATTCTAGGTATTTCTGGAATATCAAAGCAGAAAACTGTGGATAGCAGAGTTTACAGTCCTGAAACTAGGATCAAGTCTGGGATGAGTGATGCTCATTTGGAGACTTGATGTATGAGTGTCCTAAGAAGATGACTGCTGAAAACAAAAGGAAAGAAATAGAGAGTGAAAGTAGTCCGTGAGTAAGAGAGAGAATCAAAAGTGAAAGGCTGATGAATCACCTCATGATCACAGTCAAAGGAAACATCAAGCAAAGTCCAATATCCAAAAGATAAGAGGGAAAAGCATATGAGTATGGCGTTCCAAAAAGAGATTGCTTGAGGAAGGATAGAGAAAGTTACCAATACTAAAGAGTGTCACTGTCTGTCTAGTGGGTTTAAGCCTTAGAAAGGCTATCATTTCTTAGTGGAGTAAATGCCATTAAAGCACTATGGGCAGGAGCTGAACTACACTGGACAGAATACTAAATAGTAGTCCTAACAATGCCTTGTCAAGAGCATAACTTGTATTTCTGGTTGTGAGCCTAGCCTTTAAATGCTGAGCCATCTCTGCATAAGTTGAGCTAGCCGGAGCAGTGGTAGAGAGGTTACCCTGGTATTGAGGATGAGGGAAAGCTGGTACACTCACCAACTCAGCAACCACCCAGACCCAGAACCAGGGCTACAAGTTTGCCTTTCCCAACATCCAGCAGATCTATGAGCTGCTGGAGCGCATGAAGGGGCCCAGCCAGCAAACCCAAAGTTGCAGGATCTCCAGGACACAGGGCAACAACAGGATATCCAAGAAGAGTCCAAGTGAGCGCCTCGTATGGATAGTGCAGCAAAAACCAGAGGCCTTGAACCAGATCAATGACTCATTGCAATAATCACTTCCTTGTAAGATGTATGACCTTTGTCACTCTATACCTTCCATGATGAGATTTTTCTTTTTTCCTTTTCTTTTAAATGTTATTTTAACACAGAGGAGGGAGGGTTTACAAGGGCAGAAGGTGGATGTGAAGGGGCAGGGAGCTGAGTGGGATCAAGATGCATGGTGTGAAATCCACAAGAATCAATAAAAAGTTAAAATAGAAAACAAACCAAAAAGGAGCGTAACTTATACCATGAGTTTAAAGGCACTTTGGGTAGCATCGACTCAAGTTAATATTGAAAAAGCCAAGACTTCCACAGTTTTAAGTGCTTTCCCATGCCACAATACATATAAAACTGTTGACACGCAAACTTGCCCTTTCTGATGATGCCAAAGCCTTTGGATCAAACTGTTTCTGTCTACTTGGTTTGGGTGTCAACTCTAGCGCAGTAATATTTTCTGAAGGACCTCTGTGGCTTTGTGCTTTGGGAAATTTCTCTAACAATGGTATCATTGACACACTTTTTAAATCATAGTTCAGAATGAGCAGAACAAAATGTAAGATCTTAGGAGGGGAGTGTCTTTCCCATGTCTAAAGAAACACATTGAAAGTGAGTTAAGGCCGGGCGGTGGTGGCACACGCCTTTAATCCCAGCACTCAGGAGGCAGAGGCAGGTGGATCTTTGTGAGTTCAAGGCCAGCCTGGTCTACAAAGCAAGATCCAGGAAAGGCACAAAGCTACACAGAGAAACCCTGTCTTGAAAAACCAAAAAAAAAAAAAAAAAAAAGTAAAAAGAAAAAAAAGAAAGTGAGTTAAAACTGAGGATGGAGGACCATCTTATGCATGCATCACTTCAAAGATAATAATAGTATGAAATGAAACCTCCTTTTGTATGTAGACCTAGACTTACACCCCTTTTTCAGCTCAGTAAATCTGGGGAAAATAAAACAGTGTGTATTATTTATGTTCATTCCACCCTAATAATTCTATCTTTATTTTCTCCTCTATGTTTTCATTAGATCATGCTTCTTAGTGATCCTGAAATGGAGAGCAGTATATTGATCAGCTCAGACGAAGGGGCAACTTACCAGAAGTATCGGCTCACATTCTACATCCAGAGCCTGCTCTTCCATCCCAAGCAGGAGGATTGGGTGCTGGCCTACAGCTTGGATCAAAAGGTGAACAAATACTGCTTATGTTTATAAGTTGTCACCCGGGTCCTTCTCTGTGAAAAGCACTTGTTTGCTCAGCTCAGATTTTGGAGAGAATTGGTAACATTTTATTATTTCAATCATGTTGGTTTTTGTCTTCAGTAATGAACTTTACTTTCTTACCCTTCAGTATCAAAATATATACAGGGGCAGGTGTGTGTCTGTGTTCATACATATGTATATATACTGTATTGGCAATGTTTATTTTTCATTTCATAGTTTTATAATGACTTTCTCTAATATTTAATCATTTTCTTTTCTTTTCTAAATGCCTGTAAGGTCGGTAAGAGGAAAGTCATTCTTATGGTTTGATGGTGACAACTGTAAACAAAGGTGCAGAAAGCTAATATTCTTGTCCATACTCTTCCATCTTGGGGGAGCTGGAGTTTCAATGGCCATTGTCAGGTTCTGCATCTAGGGTGCATTCCATCATACTCTACTGTCTTAATTTGGTGAAATTTTAGTATACCTTTGCCTTCTAGGAATGTAAGGGAAGCTTCAGAAAAGTCTCTGTTATTTTCTGAAAATAAGTTAAAAGTGTTTGTGTTCTAAAATCCATGTATTCTGCTGTATACTTGACAATTTCTCCTATATACTTCAGAAATTTCATCATATCTTAAAAAGAATTCCTGATCTTTACCCAGTATTGCTAGCTCTCATCTGGTATTCTTTAATTTAGCAGCAACATAAGCATTAGTAATTTCTTTTTCCTAATCCATCATGTTGGATCTACCATTTTGCCTTATTACTGAATATCTGCTAGGTGAATCCGTAGTTGAATGGATGTTTAAACGTTGAAGAAAGGAACCTATTATGTTTGTTCAATATGTATTTCATAATAGAGGCTAGATTATTCGTCATTATATTTTCTGTCACCCCCCAGAACCTTAGTACATATGCCAGCTATTATACAATAATATTATGGGATCAGTCAGTCAAAGGGAAAAGATAATTGCAAGAACTATCTTGCTTAGAGATAGTCACAGAATAGCCCTGCTGAAATAGCTTATTCTCTCTGCTCTCTAAGGACCTGAAACAGTTGCTCTTCAGTACGTATTTTAAATATGTGATTGTGAATGTATGTGTGATGTCAGCACCTTTAAACAATAATTTCAACATAACCTTTATATCTCTCCTTAGCAGTACCTCATGGTGGGTACCAGGTGCTTAATGCAATCCCCTAAGGACGGCCACATGACATTTGCAGAGCAAAAGCCATTGCAAATATGTTTCTTTCATGGCATCAAGTGGATATTGTATGAAAGACTTAGCCAAATGTCAGACAGTCTGTGAGTTTAGATGCTTAGTGTAGCCAGAAAATTTGAAGCTATATTGAAAGAAAAATAAATTACTTGAATGTTGTTAAATGGTTGGATGGTAATTCATTCAGATGAAGCCTAAAGCACTTAAAAGTATATTTTAACAGAGGCAAGCTAGGCTAGAGGCAACAGACCCCTCACACCAAGAGGTCGATAAAGCAAATGCAATATGTCTTGTGTTGTCCCGAGTGTCCTTTTCCTCCATTTCCACAGCACCAGGAATTTCAGGGGCATTGCTTGTGGAATATGCTTGTGGATATAATGCCTTCAAGATCGTCTCAGACTTGATGACTATTTTTTTCACTTAGAATAAATATTTGTAACATGGCAGTGGGTGTTGATGGATTTTCCTAATCACATTGTACATTTCCAGATATATTATTCCTTAGGTACTTTTTCTTGTTGACATGTTCTGCTAAAAGTGGCTGACTATTCTTCAGACCTACGGCTTCTAACAAGTACGTGACCATTCTTCCTTTGAATAAATGGCATGAGGAGGGACATGAAGCCCCTGGCAATATTTGCAGGGGTGGCATAAAACACCTCTCCTTGGCTATCCAGAATGCAGGGCAATTTTTTCTTTATTTTGGGCAGTAATTTAGTGGTATAGAGTCTAAAAGAGTGATGCTATGCAGTAGCAAATGAAGATACCAGTGTAGCTGGGATTGATATACAAATATGTTATTTCAGGCTAGAGCTCTCTCTGATGTGCATGCATGGAGGCAGCTGTTTTCTTCTAGAGAGAATGAAAAGTGCTGGCATTAAGGTAACTGCAGCATCAAAGGGAGATGTTTGTGGTGAGGAGTGAATCGATGTTTCCATTATTGTGCCTTTGATGAAATGCACTAGCAATTTCTTTAGAATCAGTAAGGCTATCTCCTTACGTTATATGTATTACAAAAGATCTAATTGAATGATATTTTAAAGGGATGATATCCAATTGCTTTACTTTTCAAACTGATACTCCAAAGCTGCAGAAGACCTGTTAGTGGATCTAATTTGGGAAAAAGGCACTGATGGAAAAATCATGAGGGCTTTGCCTCTTCCTTCAAAATCCTTTCTGCTTCCAGAGGAGCATGGGTGGGGCTTTTGACCAATTCCTTCCCTTCTTGCATGCTGGGCTTTCCACTTCTTCCTAATTCTTTTGCCAGCTCCTGCTGTGGCCTCCCTACAGACTCTCCTACCATCTTGCATTTTGAAATAAAAGACCTCAGTACTTAGGAAACACTCAGGATTCATTCTTGGCAATAGGAATCTTTGTAGGCATTTGATGACAAGCTTTGAGGTTGAAAGAATCAAAGGAAGTAGCAATTCCTAGTTGTCCAAATGGAAGTGATAGGAGCAAAGCTACTCCCCTCCTCTCCTCTTGCAAGCAGGCTTCCTTTTTGTGGGTTGTTGTGTTGTCCTGTAAGGGATAGGCTTCCCCTTTCTACCAGCCTGTTTCCCCATTTATAGCGAAAACAGTTTATATTGTGTCCTTTTGGGATTAGCTGGAAGGCCTAATAATCTTACTAAAATAGAATTTTTGAAAGAGTTTATGATGGGTTTTGAAGACAGGGGGCTTGTAGAAGTCGCTGCCGTCCTCATTTCATAGAAAACTGTGTATCTAAGCATACCTTAGGTTGTCAAGGGGCTCAGTGTGGTTCCTTAAAAAGTGAGCACATGTTTTGTATTCACAGATGCATAACCCCCTAGCCTGGGGGCTCACTCATTGTGGGGGAGAGTTAAAAACAGTCATTTTTCTACATGAGGATCAGGTTTGCAAAGGCTCTATGACTACTTGTCTTTGTGGCAAGATGAAATTAACAAATGCAGCTTGCTTTGGAGTTCAGATATGAAGAATCCAAAAAGATTTCAGATTCTGTTGTTTTCAGGCGCTTTGGGATTATACATGTCTAGAATTGCTGACCATTTCAATGCGAAAAGCACTTTCTTAAACACTAACCAAGGTAATGAAAATTAACTGTTATAGTATAGGAGCTGGCTTGAAGCTAAGGAGTTTCTCTCTCTCTCTCTCTCTCTCTCTCTCCCCCTGGTGTGTGTGTGTGTGTGTGTGTGTGTGTGTGTGTGTGTGTGTGTGTGTGTGTGTGTGTGTGTGTTGTGTACACCAAGACCAGAGAGATTGCCTTGTCAGTTCCTCTCCACTTTATTTTTAAGACAAGATCTCTTCCCTGAACCTGCAGTACACCATTTCTGCTAGACTCATTGGTCACTGAACTCTGAGGATCCTCCTGTTTCCACACTCCCACCCACCCACCCACCCACAGCTAAGTTTACAAATGACCTGTGGCCACAGCCAGCTTTCATGTTAGCCACACTGAGCTTTTACTTGAAGCTGAGAAATTCACTCAGGTCATCATCCTGACACAACAAGCACTTTACCTACTGAGGCATACCCCTAGTCCCTGCTAATATGATACTTTCTTAGTATAAATCATATTAATTAATTAATGTTACTGGGGTCAATACAACGCTTTCAAGTGTGCATGACAAGCATCTACCAACTGAGTTATATACAAACACCCTGATTTTAATTTTAATTGATCAATAATCCATTAATAACTATGGTACAGTGTGAATCTCAATATGTATACATCTAGTCTATTGATTAAATCAAGGCAATTAGCATATCTATCACTTCAGAGCTAGTATTTCTTTGTAGTGAATGACAGGTTTTCTGGATCTCCTCTTATCAGCCAAATAGTAGCTGATGGATTGAGGTGCTGTTTGAAAGGCTGATGCAGCTTTAGGCACGATGACGCTATGAAATGTAAGTTCAGGTGCAGAGCAGTTGCATGTCCTGTGCAGGCTGTGCCGATTGGCCAATACCTGTGGTTGCTATGCCAGGTCAAGAGCAGGTCCTGGCGAATTAGATGATAGCTGTGTTGTGCAGGGCCTAAAAATTCAAAATGAAATGGAAAGTTGTGCTTCTGGAATGCCGGATACAAATGAAGCTGTGCCTTTCATTTATATTCTCGCTCTAAACCCTAGATTAAAATGTAATTGTATTCAGATCCTTTGGGATTAGCAGGTGATGATAACTTCCTCAGTAGCCATTGGCAGGAACAGGCTTTTTGTGTCTTTGCATCTGGTGGGGATAAAGCTGTTGAGGATTAGCTGGGGATGGCCGTGGTTTTGAAGCTTGTCATCCATGGAATAGAAATAGACCAGAAGACATTTTTTATTTAAAGGAAAAACTTGGCATTTTCATTAGGTCTTCTCCTGTTCTCATCAAATCATTTGTGCATCATTTAAGAGAAAGGAAAAACCCATTACCCTCGTCACCTGTCACAGGTGCCACTGTTTGTACAGCATTTTCATCAGTACAGTGGGTGTATGTCGTGGGACAGTCACCTAGTAAGTGAGGGGCACAGTTCAAGATACCCTGTGGGAGTCAAAGGTCTTCATCAATCTATCTGAGCTGAATTTTGACTAGTTAAACTGGTTTAATATAATCTATTCTGTCATGGTGGCACAGGAAGGACCCTCATTTAGTAACAACCTTTGGTTGTTAATGCTCACGAGAATGTAATTAACTCAGAACAACCTTCACTACGATTACAGATGCAGTGGCCTATGGCCTTCCCAGCCTGTCATTTATATCAACTCCCAGATTTACTAGTCAACTCCTCTGCCTATAGGTATGCA